GCGAGAGTTGTACCATCAGGAGGGTGGCCTAAGACTACAATGCTAAAGTATGCATACCTCAGTTACAAAACTTTTGAAAGGAAGTCTCAGCCACAGAATGCATATACCTGTAGAGTTTTGCATGGGTTTTATATGAATACAATTTTAAAAAATAGCTGCTTGCACATTATACCAGAAAAACCTCCAAAACTGCAATTGCTTTGAAAATAGATTTTAGGTTTTTTGGAGTTTTCTGAAATGCTTGGTCTGTATTTTGATAATTGTGCATATTATGTAAAAATGTTGGTGGACCCATAAATGACCAGACTTTTTCTAAGAAAAATGTTGCTTTAATGCATTTCATGAATTTTTACTCTTATATCATTGCTTGCTAGTAATAGCAAATCTGCTTTTCTGCATCTGCTTTGCGTAGCTATTGTAAGGCTTTGAACTAATGTATGTATTTATTGCTTGAACTTCTGTGCATACCTTATAAAGCATAATGTCTGACAATTTAAATGGCTCATGTATTCTTGCTTCTATCATAAGCTGATTATGGGGACTATGATCTTTTGTATACAGCAAATTTTAACTGTAGCACAAACATCTGTTTATGTATTGGTGGAATATACCTGTTTTATTTATCTTTTTTGAGGTAAACTAATTTTTGATACTTTTCATTACTGTGTACTATGTTCATACTTTGAATTCTCTGACGTTAGAAGTCATGGTTGAGAATTGTAACAGCTGTTATTCGTTCTGTATTCATGGCTTTCACTGCTGAATAAAATAAAGGACCAAACCTAGGATTTGAAAGAAAACTGTCTACCTCTAACACCAGGGAGTTATCAGATTTTATTTTACATAGTTTTAGTCTACAAAGACACAATTGCTTAAACCTAGTGGGCTTAAGGCTTATATTCTGTGTGGTTGGATTCATGGCACAGTTGTACTGTTTGAAAATCAATTAAAATTTTATGTGAATGTTACAAGTATCTGGTAGAATTACCACTAACTGGGTTTTCTTTAGATAACTCAGATATGGAGAAAATGTCATCAGCATTCTGGGTGTACAGCTGCTTAACTTCATAAGAATGCATTTCTTTGTGATTAGGGAATCGAAGAATAGTCAGCTAGGAATAGAGCTACAGAAGTACACTTAAAATAAACCATCCTGGACTTTAATGTCCCTGGGCAGATTCAGTCACAAAATCCAATAGACTGTTTTGCAAAGTTTCCAAATTGGGCGTTTACATTTTTGAGAATTTGTGAGACTTCGTCTTACATATGCCAATATTAACACAATTTGAACAATAGCATTATCAATTCCATTATGCTGTTGAAAGGAACATAGCTTACCCTTGTTTCACTAGTTCAGGTTGCAATGAAAGGGTTTTTTTTTTTTTCTTTTTGTCCACTTGGCAAATCTTACTTAGCAAAAAAGGATGTACATTTTACTATAGAATTAATGTATGAACAGTGTGTCACTACTGTTGGATGTAAAAATGTATATGAAACCATTTCATTCACTTGATTACATTTCTGAAGTATAAATAAAAAACTATAATTCTTTTTGACCCATTTATAACCACTAGGGTTTTATTCTTTCGGAGAGACCTTTCTACCATACCAGAGACAAACTATAAATTTGTGTACACATGTCCCATAATTTGCTTAAAATCATTTTCTTAGGAATGGGGGAATTTATAAACCAGACCATACTCAAATTGTGAGTCAGTGAAGAGGTGGGGGGTGCTCTTTGTCAAGCTCATTCAATTTAAAACCACCCTCAGGTTTAAAATTTGTCTCCTTACACTATCATCTCGTGTTTCCTTATTTATATTCTAAGAGAATTTGACACAATAAATTCTGAACCTTTGAAAAATGCCGAGGGAAAACCTGATTAGTTTACTCTCTCTAACTTTATGGCTTTTTTTCTTAGTTCTCTCCCCACCCCCCTTTGCCTTCAAATATCAGTCAAACCCATGGCATCTTGCTATGGTTTAGGGAAATGTACAGGGACAGGGTAAGAGTCTTCCAAGAGAATGGTTTTTTTAAGTTGTTAGGAATCCATTCCAGACTTACATTAGTGGCAACAGGCAAGATAAGACCTCTGTAGAGGAAAGTTTGCCTTTTTCTTTAACCCCCATATGTATTCCTAAATCTGTCATGATCAGGAGTGGAAGAAAAATGAATATATTGAGAATATTTTTATTTTGTGCATAATTTAATGTTTTCTGTCATAAAAGGATGCCTTGACTCAAGAGCTTTCCACAGGGTAACAGATTGTTTAAAAAGAAATGTAAGCATGAGATTAATTTTCTTGAACCTTAGAAACAACTTTTTCACTATTGATTTTTTAAAAGTCAATTATTAACTCGCCCTGTCCAGTGTATTTTGTGAACTTACTAAAGGCTACAATGAATCCAGTCCTGACATTTTATATATTTTAATATAGGGAAAACAATTTGGAGATCAACACTGACAATTTAAGAAAGAAGTAAAGCATTTGTTTGGCAAATGTTTTCTTCTTAACCCAGAATTCAAACTCATGTCATCATATCGTTAAAAATGCTGTTGCCAAATATATTTTATTGGGCCAATGTGAGGATTGAGCTGCTTGCTAAAAAGTTGGCCACAGAATTACTTTTGAATTTTTAAAAGTAAGACAAAAATGTCAAAATCTTAACTATACAAACAGTCACATTTCAACCATTTTCCCGGGCAGAAGAAAGGAAAGATGAGCTGCCAACTCTTCACTATTTAAATTTTTTTATAAAATGGTCTTTAGATAAATTCTAATATTTAAATGCTAAGAAAGAAAAAGAAAATAAGCAACATCTTTGCACTTTTGTTCTGTTTTTAAACTGCATAGAAAACTTTTAAAATGCTGGGCACAAAATTACATCAAGAGAATGTGTTATTTGACATATTGTTCCCTTTACCCTCTGTCTAGTTGCAATCAACCCAGATTAAAAGAAACCAGGCAGCACCTGGAAATAAAAGAGTTTGTAATTTTCTGGGAAATCCATCTTACAGGTGACTCTGCACTGTCAATAAGCCAGCATATACACATGTGTGCCTCTACACACAAAAGAACTTCAGAAGCAAAATGAACTTTAAACCCAGAAATATATTGTGATCTAACACCCTGTTGTGAAGGTTTATTTAGAGTTCTTCAAAATAAATATCAACCAATCTGATTCCTAGAGTTGAAGTTGAAGTGGGTGTTTGATTTTCAAAACTTCTATGGAAAACAAAAATTTCTACATGACAAAAATTGTCCCTTCCTTTATATTTGACAACCACTAGGGTCAACAAATTTGACAGTGAACATTTACATGCAGAAAGGAGGATGAACAGGGAGGAGAAAAGAAAATAAAAAGATGTATGGAAGAAAATGATCCTACTATGGACACATCATTTTTCAACTTGTCATGCAATGATAACTGGAGAGGGCATCAGTTTGAAACTGGATTAGCTGTATTACTCCCTGCTCAAACACTTGCAGAACCCCTTGTGCTCAAGTTGTTATTCCCTGCAGAGACCACGTGCAGTAACTTGCATGTTCCTGTAATAATAGCATCCAGAGATGCTGATATGAGGCATAGCCCCTAACCTACCATTCTCTTCTTCCCTTTGGAGACAGCATCACATAGAGTCTTGGAACATTTGACACAGGACACTTGACCTTGCCTCCCTGATCTTACTCTCCCTTAGATATATTGAAACAATGCTATAGAAAATGCAGTATTTAAAAATTATTAATTCACTTTGATCAAATGTGCAGGGGAAGTAAAAAAAATTACAAGACGTCCTAGGAGAAAATCATGAAACTTTAAAATGATATTTTTCCTAAAATAAAGTTATATGATCATATATTCAGATATCCTCCCAAAGCTTAAAAAAAAATAAAAAGCTTTTCCGTAAGTAAAAACTAAGGTAAATTGGGTAAGCAAAACACTGAGAGTCCTTGAAATTGAACTCTACACCTGCATGTAAATGTTTTATTTAGTGCCTTTCACCAAAGAAAGGACTCTGGAAAGCTGATCCACAAGAAATCAGACCAACAGAGCCCCATTTATTTACACTTACCAAGCATTTATTTACACTTATGGCTTTTCTGATAAGATTAGTTCAAACTTAATTTTTAAAAAAGATAGCAAAGGATTATACAATTTTAAAATCATTTTTCAGATCAAGCTATGTGAGCATCATGAAATAATCCAGTGTCTTTGGTTGCCTCCAACCTCAGACACGTGGTTCTCGATTATTTACCACTGTTGCAGGTTTATTTAATACTCATACAAATGTACTGTGACAATGTTTATTTCACTGCTCATTCTCCCTTCATTTTTGAAATATTCTCATGGTAGTCTCCAAAATAAAATGGAAATATTAACTTTCTCCCCACATAAATTTAAAGCTATTATTGGCTACTCTGTGCCACTGTTGTCATTTTGCCAAAAGAGTAGTTTTGGGCAAATAAACATCACTATCATAATTTTCTAAGGGGGACATTTTGACATTATAATGGTCATTTCTAGCATTTAGAGAGTTACTTGAAGGGTATATATGATGCATAAAATTTGAGAGAGATTCACATTGAGATCAGGCATTCAAAGAGGCTTCAGAATCACCTTGGAAGAAGTTAGGTGACATATTAAGGAATATTTCCAAAAATCTAATCAAAATCAGGGGGAAAGTTTTTTGTTATATGCCAAAGAACTCACAAATTATGGCTTGAAGAAAAGAGCTCATTTACTATACCTTCGGTCTTCATAAGCAATTATATCGAAGCCAATTAGGAAATTAATAGATAACAACTTTATTTTTAAATAAAGGTAACTATATTTAAGAAGTGGATTTGAAGTCAATAGCTTTTATTTCCCTGAACTGTAGTGCAGCCCTGAGCCCTTCATGGTGTGAGAGTTTCCTGTTCCAGACAGAGGGCATTGAAGGGAGTTAGCCAGCTGGGGATGTGTGAGTCCAATAAAGTCTAAAGGGAATAGGATTGAATGCAAAATCTGGGCCTGAGATGAAAAACTGCTTTAACGTCATTTGCCCAACTCTGATGCCTCATGGTTGTCTGGGAAACCCTTCACATAGTATAGGATCAATTAGTACATGATGAAGGATTCAGAGACCATATCCTCACTTTAGAAGAAATTGTGCCATTAGCTACTGTGATATCTGCCATGAGTACCGGAAAGGAAGTCAGATATGAAGCCCACTGATTTCCCAGTCCATTTTTAATTTCCAATGTCAACAAGATCAGAGAAAACTCACCATGGCATCTAAAACCTTGACAGTTATCAGTGGATAAAAACTGTATATTGGGAATAATTTCAAACTGGGATGCTTGGCACTAAAACTGGTTAAGTGGAAAGTGTAGTTGGTGAAATGTTGCATTTGATGGATTTTTGTTAGATATAAAGACCCAAGAATTACCAGAAATTATTGCATTTGGTGGGACTGAGGCACATGCTCAGGTGCCCAGAGGAGGATCTTTCAGCGAAGACTAAGTTTGACCTTTATGGGCTTCCTCATTGTTAACTTCTAGCCAAACCTTTAGATCATTGCAAGATCTGTGTTTGCTATATAGAAGTGAACATTGGTATAAAGCTATCTCTTTCTCAAAATCCTTAATGTAAATATTTCCAGTTCAAACTTTTCTTCTTTAGTACTAAGAGAAGGGATCTGGGGTGAGAACCCATGAAGCCCTCTAGTTAGAACTTGGCCAAGTTCATCTAACCATATTCTCAGATTTCCCACCTGAATGGAGAGATACATGACATGCGCATATCCTAGCAGTCACCTCTAGATTTAAGCCCTGCTATTCAACCCCTAGAACCCTAATTCCTATGGCCCTCCTCTTGAAATTTTGGAGTTCAAAAACAGCTCACAGGAACCATAGCAGCCATGATAGCCTTCACTCAGTGTCTCCCCATTCTCATTGTCCTGCCTGATGCTGCTTGTACAGCAGGCTGGAGTTCCACTGCCTGCTGATGTCACTATCTGGCACCACTCTCTTCTCTAAGAAGTGATTGCTACTCTGAGTTACCTCTTGACAAGATCCTGCCCCACCTCTGCTCCCATTATTTTTTCTGGGTTGGAAGAATCCACTTCCTGCCACCTTATTGAATGGAATAGCAACATAGGCACTTTGTGGCCAACAGTTGCAAGACAAAGCTGAAGTTACCATATTGTCTTGGAGCTCTCCCTTGACTCCTTCAGATTATTACATCCTGGAACTTCCTCCAATGCTTACTAGTTTAGCTTCTGTTCTCTTAGAAGTGGGGCTGGATCTGAAGATGATATGAATATTTCTAGTTAGAGGAAAAAACTAGAAGCTTTTTAGTACTGCTATGACACCAAGATGATATTTCTATTTCTTTCTCAAATAGAAAGTTCCTTCTCTATTTGGAGTCATATTCCAGATGTTGAGTGAGCATCTACCACCACCATCTATACCCTTTTATTGAAAGTCTCAATCATATAAGCCATCGAAATATCTTATCAGTGTGTGTGGTTAGGCACTAAGGAAAATAAATTCTCCATCAAAAAACCAACACTGAAAGTCATGGGGGT